AACAACAAGTCCAAATTCCAAACTGATGAAGCTCCATTGAATCCACTGGAAATCGTCATGAACCTACATTTATCCATCCATGTTCATCATTAACTTACCGGAGATGTGAGATAGAGAACAAAGCTTGAGAGTAAATCTTCATAAAAGTAAAGTTTATGGTGTAGGGGTAGAAGATGTCGAGATTGAGCTCTTTGCTTGTATTTTGTGTTGTAAGCATGGTAGATTTTTTTTACTTATCTTAGGCTTCCCATAGGTTCTAACATGAAGTTAGCTAGATCTTGGAATCATATTGTTGAGAAGTTTAAATCAAAGTTATCTTCTTGGAAAGCTAGTACTTTATCTTTTGGAGGTTGTCTCACTCTTGTTAGTTCCATCTTGAGTAGCCTTCCCTTTTACTATTTTTTGCTTTTCAATGCTCATTATTTATTGTTTGGAGGGCTTTAGGAGGAAGTTCCGTTGGAATGGGAAAGGTGATAGCAAAAAGATCCAATAGAGGCTTGGAATACCGTGGTCATGCACAAGAGAAAAGAGGGCCTAGGTGTTGGGTACCTTAGATCTTTAAACCTAGCCCCATTAGAAAAGTGGATGTGGAGGTTTAAAATGGAAGGTGCAAATCTTTGGTTAAAAGGCATGAAGTCTTGGCATAATATAATTGGTTTGGACGATAAGCCTATTGATAGATTGATAAATGTCATTTTATGCATCTTTTAGGGTAGTTTTTATTAGCATTTAGCATCATAAGTTGTACATTTGCATGACATTAGTTTAAATAATGTTCAGCTCATGTCTTTATCAGAATTCACGTACTATTATCATTTTTCGTATCGTTTTCAAATAATTTGAGTCGAGCGGTACTTTGGGAGTATCTGGATACATATTTAGAGCCTAAATTGAGTTGGAACTGAAGAAGGATGTAGAGGAATGACATGAAATGCTTAAACTGAAGAATCACGTCTGAATCGAGCCAAAAGCCATATATGTGATCGCATTTTTGGACATCTACGTTCGTATTTGTTGATCGAGGATTTGCAAGGTTGAAAAAGTCATCTAGAAGAAAATTCGCAAAATTTGCGATCCTATATGTGTGTATGTGTGTGTGTGTGTGGTTGCATTTATCTGATGCAACTCAAAATATGTCGAGAATAGCATCATACTTCATTAACTGACAATTCTGGAGAAAATCACCAAATTTGTGATCATATTTCCTATATCTGCGATCACATATTTTGTTTACTTGTTCCATAAGGTTCCTGCTTACATATAAATATGACACCCCTAGTCAAATTCGAGGTTAGACGCTTCCAGATGACGGAAAACGCTTTTGTAAGCGAGTTTTGATCCTTTTCAGCACTTTCTAAAGATCTAAAGGCTGTGAATATTCTCTTACATTTAGTTTGAAAGATTAATCATTTAGTTTCTCTTTAATTAGTTTAGATTCGCTTTTAACCATGTCTGGCTAAAATCTAGTTTTCAGTTCTGCAATAAACTAGTAATTTTCATGTGATCAATTATCAGATTTGGTTTTCATTGTGTGCTTCTATCTATTTGTTTCAGTTTTGAACTTAATGAAAATTTGATTTTTAATTCTTGGTAGTCTGATAATCTAGCTAGGATTTAATCATTACAATTAATCAATTAATAGAATTTGTAATTGTTCTTGTCAACTGTAATAAGTAACAAATATCATATGGGCTCCATGTTAGGGATTTAACTCTGATATAATCCAAAATTTCATATATTTATGCTTCCAAGCTTATGAGAAGTATTGGATATTGCTGGGAATTTTACACAAATCTTAATGCAACTTTTCTGATCTTAATTAAGAGCTTGTTTAATCAGACAGTAAAAATTTAGGGTTAATTAAAGAGCATGTTTTGATTAATTTACCTATGTAAAAGAGATTATAATAGAGCTTGTTAGTTTTTCTCAATACTAGCTTAGATAGAATGCATTTTGGTAACATGATCTGAGCTGATTGCATTATTAGGAAAGTCGCAGCAGAACTAATTCATTTTTATTACTGAGTTTTATTTAGTTTATTTTTACTGCAATTTAGTTTTTATTTAATAATCAAAACCCCCTTTTATATTTTCTGTTTTGACTAGTATGTACCTTACACAAAGAGGCATTGACCATTAGGTTGTGTCCCTGAAGATTCGATGATGCTTCCATGTGCTACCTATTAGAGAACCCAATAGTGAAAATATTATTTGCTTAAATCGTGCGCGACAACGGTTTAACATAGATCTTGTCTTCCGGGTACATGGTCAAATATTGCACACACACACATATATATATATATATATATATGTGTGTGTGTGTGTGTGTGTGTGTGTGTGTGGAGGAATGGAATATTGACTTGGTTTTGCTCTTTGAAAGAAGTTTGGGAGCTAGAAATGAGACCTATTTTTGGAAGATAAGTGGTTGGATGGGATTTCTCTCAAAGATATCTTTCCAGATTTGTATAACTCATACTCCAATAAAAACTACAAGGTGATGGAGACGCTGCCAAACAACATTACAAGGGGCGAAAATGGAAGTTTATGGTGCTGGATGTGACTTCCCAAAAATCATAGTAAAATTTTTATTTCCTAAAACAACCCCAAGACAATAATTGTTTATAGAAACATTGTTTCAAAAGTGTAATTCATAAATCACTTTCGCATACATAATGTTTACACTGCGAATCGGTGCGAACGTTCATAGTAGTTCGTTGTCCACTGTTCATTTGCAGTCTACTTTAACACTATGAATTGGTGCGAACGCTCGCAGTAATTCGTAGTCAATTGTTCATTCGTGGTTCGGATTTTCCAATATTCTTTTGTACATTATGTATATTGTTTCTTAACTTTGTTTCGTTTTTCAATCTTTTTTGTTGTAATTCTTTTTCATAAAATTTCAAAATACAAAAATATTTTATTTGTGTTTATTTTTATTTCTTTTATTTTCACGAATCACAAAAACACCAAAAATATCTTAAGTAGATAATGGAGGAACAAGTTCGTAACATATCTCAATTTGTGTGATGGGGCAGCTCTAAATCTCTTTATCTATGTATTAGCTAAGTGCCCCTAGAAGCATGCTGCTGCATGTTGTCCGAAGCCTCAATCGACTCGATGTGAAACCTTAATGAACCGATCCTACCAATCGTTTCTTCCCAACCAGGCTGTTTAATTCACATTAGTCATGAGCTACCTTACTCTTCTCTTTTTGAGATAAGAGTTATCTGCTTGGTCACTTTCGCATAACAGAGGTACATTCACTTCTTTGGAACCACCTTCATGCTTCTCTAATACCTTCGCACTCATGAATGTAACCCTCGAGACTCTCAGCTATACCACTGAAGTTAATGGTTCTACAACATCTATGTTAGTGATCTTGGTTTCGTACAACCACGAATTGAGTGAAACCCAAAATCCATCACACTTAAATGAATTGACGGTGAACAATTAAAAGTTCAAGATTTTCACCATGGAATTAACGAAAGCCACTATCGTGGTTTGTACCAAGAAATCTCTTTTTCTTTTGCGAGATCCTTATGCCGTGTTCTTGTCCCAAGACACTTCTTCCCAAAAGATCCAATTTGAGATTTCAGAATTTAATATTGTCACCAAAAAATTCCAAACCTACTCGTTCAACTGACTACACTGGTCACCCGAGTACTTCGTCCAACTCTCGCACTTATGTCAAGTTTCAGAGTTTGGATGAAGATAAAGCCACCTTGTAAGCCTAATAAAAGATGCCTTTCAGTGTTTCTTAATAAACAATTGATCGTATTTCAACGGGAAACCACACAGACACTTCTTAGTCTCTCTTGACTTTGAAGGAAGAGGTCTTTGCCCGAGATCCATAGTTTCGTGTCTTATTAGGCATCCCTAGTATCAATTAGAATTAATTGCTTTATTTCTTTATATATGGCACACACTTGTATGAAGATCCTAGTGATTTTCAAAAGTTTGGTTCGTGGTACTTACATTCAGTTTCAGGTTCGCAGTTCAACCTAAGTTCCTAAAGATAAGAATTCAAATGGACGCGTGAAATTTTGAATGTGCATCTACTTTATCATTGTATGACGTATATCTATGACATGAACGGTTGTCAAATTGCGCTTTTTCAGACGACGTTTCATTAATCGATGTAATCTCTCTCCAGATTTTTCTCCTTAATCGCACGGTATAAAAGGATTTTGGCGCTTCACCTCTCATTACCACTCACAAAATTCTCTCAAAGATTTCCGAAGATCAACGCAAGCAACTGTTCATCTTCTTCTTCCTAAAGATGTCAACAATGGTGGGCTCTTCTGAAACTCCCTCTGTTCAAGAACAAACTGGGAAATCTCAACTTCTCACCATCAAGTCACATCAAAACCTGATCATTGATCTTGATCCTTTCAAATATGACAACCATCTACTTATAATCATCGAGTGTCTAAAATACTCTCCACTGACCACAACCATAACTAAGATGGAAACTGTTCTGATGTCATTACTTTCAAAGGCCTACTCTTTTGCTTGTTACATCAAATAAGAATAGAGAATCACTTTTCAAATTCTTGATAAAACAACATCCATCACCAAAGCTCGATTCTCTTCTCTCTTAGGGCTTATTCAATCTGATGACCTGATTGATCCTGAATCTATCTCCAACTCAGCCTTGTTAGATATGTTCTATCAAATAGGGTATAAAGACACCTTTTCTGTTGTTTCCAAATTCCGAAAACTTAACTTTCCGCCCCAATGGAATGGACTTTTCACAATATTATTCAAGGCCTTTTCTGAAAGGGGAACAGGATCTGATTGTGCCAGCAAGCTGTTCATGGCAATCATCTATGACATCTATATTGGGCTGAATATTGACTATGGTGTTGTTCTTTGGGCCAGGCAATTCAAAGTACCCATTCAACTACTCGTCATAGAGAAATCTCTTGTGTACGCTTTTGGTCCATCATTGTTCAAAGGGCCATCACCAAGTTGTAGATTCCAATTATGCAAGATTCCCTGATGTCTAAAGTTTCAATCTTTCACACCACTGGAATCATTGTTGCTGATTCTTCTAAGTTTGCTTTTATCGACTCAATTCCTGAAGCTAAGCTTCGTGATGTGCCTCCTGCCAGCAAAGTTCTTAAAGGCTACTATACTTTTCCTGCCTCAGATTTTCGTACTTTAACTCCTGAAATGCAGTCGATTATAGATGAAGCAGATAAACCCAAGAAAGGGGGTAACAAAGGGGGAAATAAAGGGAGAAAAGAAAAGGAAGATATGGAAGGTCCATCTGAAACTGCGAGGACTCCTAAGAAGTGAAAGGCGAAGGTTGATCCATCTGCAGTCGCTCCTAAAAAGAGAGAGTTGAAGAGAGCAGCTCGCAAGACTAAGTCCCCCACACCTTCTGAAAGTGAACATTCACAATCTGACACTCAGTCAAATGTTCGTAATGAGGAAGAACAACCAATTTGCAATGAAGAGGAGGAGCAAGTTCACAACGAAGAGGCTACATCTCATGCTGAGGTAACCCCTACTTACAACGATTTCTTTCCATCTCCTCCTTCTTCACCTGAACACACCACAACACCAATTACCATTGCACCCTGCCCTCCACATATTTCTTCTGAACATCAAAGCATCATTCCCTAATCTATTCCTTTATTCACTAATTCCACTGTTCCACCCACAACATATGGAGAACTTGTTGTTTCAGTCAATGCATTTGATGTGGGGGCTAGAACTTCAGGCTTTACATCATCTCATATCTCTCCCCAGATTCCCCCAATACACTGAGATGATCCTGATATGATCTATGGGGCAGATGAATATGATTTAGCAGGGTTCACCTTCAGTCCATTCACTATTCGAACTGCTAGTGATGATGAAGCTTCAGTTACAAAGGGGCAACTAAAAGCTATTCACAAAAAGCTTGACTCTCTGCTTCAGGCTTCCAAACCTTCTTCTTTTGATGAGTACTCCCAAACCTTAATAAATTCCATCCTTGAAACCCTCACCAAGGAGCATTCATCTAATCTTGAAAAGATGAACAAAGCTGTGGATGCCTCTGCCTCCGTCTGCAACGAAACATCCGAAAAAGTCGATAAACTAAGTTCTGATGCCACTTCATTTCTGAACAACTTCTATTCTTCTTTTGAGACCAATACAGTGAGAGCTAATGAAGCAATTGCAAATCTTGGCTCGTCTCTTAAGGCTGAACGAGCAAAACTACAAGAACTCAGAACAAGGATTACCTCTGATCACAAAGAATTCAAATCCTCAATTTACTCACAAATCTCCAAACTTTAGGATAATCTTGCCATGGAAAGTAAAATAATGGACTCCTTTGCTATTAAAACCAAAAAAGTTAAGGTTCTCACTGTTAAGCTCGAACAAGCTGAGAAATAGATCCAAGATTTGATCATTGAGAGGGCAGTAATGAAAAGATGCATCACTAATGTTACTAGCCTACTCTTAGATATTATTGAGACCAGGGACCCAATGATAACAATTACAGTTCGGAAACATCTTGCTAAAAAGTTGAGACCGGTGTTCGCTATGTTACATCGATTGGAGGGTGTTCCAAAACCTTCCAATATTCCGAAACAAGGGGGAGATCAACGAAAGAAGACTTCAGCAAATCCAACAACTTCAGTCCATCTAAGTATTAAAAGTGAATCTGAGCCTAAAGGCAGAGACAAGCTTTTTTTTGAAGAGCCAATAGTTAATAAAAACAATGAAGAAGAACTCAAAAGGCGAAAGGCTTGTGAGTCTGAATTGGATGAAAAACAAAGGATAGTGAGAGAGGCTGAAGCAAAGGAGAAAGCTGAAAGAGGAGCAAGGTCCACTCTTGAAAGTAGGAAACTCTTGTTTCCTGTTTGGACGATAAAAAGAATTCAAAGTCAAGCTATTGATTCACCGAATCAGTATTGGTTAGAACCGGTTGTGTCGTTCGAAATCCAGAATACTCAGGACTCACAACTGGATCTTCCATTTACATCTAAAGCCTTCAAGTTTCATTCTTTCATCAAGGTTGCGAATGTCCCCATCTCTGATAGTGGTGCTGATCAACTTTTCTTACAACTTTATCTTCAGCACATGAGGCCGCAATACAAGACTTGGAGTGCCAACAAGATCATGGCAGTGAAGGTCACTAGACCAATCGAGACTGACAGTTTTCCAAATGCCAAATTCAAATTTTTCAGAGGTTCTACTAGTCAAGTTCATGAGTTCACTCTCGCGGACCTGCTATGTATCAATCCTTACGACTGGATAATTCTCTACCACTTGTTATTACGAGACACGAAGAAGTACGTGTTGGATTAGGTGTCTAAGACCATAACTATTTTGGTATGTACTTGACCCGATTATGAGCATGGTCCTTTTGGATTGCCTTCACCATTGCAACTAATAGGACGAATTAAGGAGAAAAAGGATTAATTATGATTTATTAATATATTATATGAATAATATGTTAAAAGAGAAATCATGTTGTTTAATTAATATTAGCCGAGAATTAATTAAGAATTAATTTTGTCGCAAAAAGAGATTAATTAAATAAAGGGAACTGATACTGTAATTATAAGATAGTTATAAAGTTGGATTTAGGATCCATAAGGAAGCAATGGATGAATTCTATATGAGGGTCCATATAGAAATCGTCCAAGGGTCTTTTGGAAGATCCTTTGGGCTACTTCAGGACTAAGCAACTAATTAGGATTTCCATGTTGAAAACCCTAGAATCCTAGCTATAAAAGGAACCCCTTAGGCCTCCAAAAACGTCCCTAACTCTTCTTAGAATACCTTGGACGAATTTTGGTGCCTCTCCTCTCTCTCTCTCTCTCTCTCTCTTGTTCATCCTTGTTGCTAATGGCGTTTATGACTACATTAGAGGTGCAACACTTAGGGCACTAAGCTTTTAATAGTCAAGATCAAGAAGGAAAGTGATTGTTATTGCTATATAACAATCAAAGGTAAGATCTAAACCCTAAACCATATGTGTTTTCGGATTTGTATGCTAGTCAATTAGGGTATATTGCTTTGGTATTCAATGTTGTATGTTTACTTATAAAAACCTAGATCGAAGCAATTAGGGTTGCATGTACACCATAGGATTGATGTTATGCTAATAACCCATCACTACAAACCTTTCATCCATCACCTTAAGCTTATGATGATTACGTATATTCAAGAGGTGGGCTCTATGGATGTAGAGATAGTTACAGTGTTAAGCCTACTGCAGTTCCTAAAGAAGCTCCAAAGGGGTTTTAAAAGTTGTATATTGGAAAAATCCACAAGGAAAGTTGTTACGTTGTCTTTCAAGCAAGGGATAAGAACGATGATGACTATCGCAAAACGTGTTTTTTTCTCCTATACAAACACTTATTCACCACATCCTGTCTCAAATTCATCTTGGATATTGTCAACAAATACAAGGGCAACCGTGAGGGTGATAAGAAGTGCTTCTCGGACATGATTCGTTGGTATGTACAGGTTCGCAAGGCGTTATTGAGCATTATTCTGAAGGTTTTTGAATTACAAAAGCGAATCTTGAATTTATATTCTCTTGCCTCAAATAACACAAAGGGGGAGATTGTTGGGATAATTATGTTTCATCTTTGGGCCTTTTGTTTGAGTCTATCTTGTAAATGGGTTAGGCCTGTCCTCCCATATTTCATTCTAGGGTTTGAGTATTTAAGATGCATGCATGCATCGTATTTTAGTTAACTCTGATATTATCTTGTAACCCTAATCACGCCTCTACAGTAGCAAGTCTTTGTCGAGTACTTCTGAGGCATGACTTTTAATCATTCAACATATTTTGAATCGGCGTTGTGTTCTTGGCTTTAATCTTTTTAAATCTAAACGATCTTTTCAATGATTTTCTTCCTAACACACTTGAATACATTTGATTACGTATGCGTGCTACTATAAGTCCAAAGCAAGACCAGTCATCGACTCACTCCTACTTCAGACTTGGGGGACTTGTTGATATGTATATCTTATTGTCCAGCTCTAAATACTTCGGCCATTTCTAGACATTTGGGCTAATTCTAGGCATTTCGGCCAGTTCTAGGCAGTTCGGTCATTTTCGGCATGCTCCTTCCCAAGGCGAAAAGTACATAAGTCACCTCAACCTTATCCTGTCCAGCTGTTAAGATTTCTCCCCAAGAGATAAGGTACAGCTAGTTATACTATATATACACCTCTCAAGACACTTCAAATCAAGTTTCAATTCTCTCTCTATCTCTTTCTCTCTACATACAATCGGGTTCCTTACACTTGAAGGACCCGACCTCGTTTCGTATCAATACTAACTTGACCATCGGAGGCCGCTCCTGGGATGCAAGTCCTGGGGTGACTCTAACGATCTCGTTTATTAGTGTACCAGGAATCAAATCGAGGCTCTCTAGCAGCAACGAATCTCATATCCAAGATCTCAACTCAATCAGCCTCGTGACGATTTTCGGGTTACATCAGTAAACAAGGAATAAGTTCCAAGCTTTATACCTCAGTGAAGTTGGAAACGGTGAGAGAAGTCTGGATCTACAAGCTATCCTTTTATCAAGGCTACTTCTTCCAAGTTCTTATTCTTCGAATCTCACCGAAAAACACTAAAACACACACAAGAGGGTCAAATCTCTTCAAAAGGGGCTAGGGTTTCGAAATGTGACTCAAAGGTCTTTGGGGGCTAAGAAATGAGAGGTTCAAGGTTCATAATGTTGTTTAAATAGGGTCCAAACCCTAAATTTTAGGGTTTTTACCCTGCATGCATACTCCCCGCTTACTACAAGTTTTTTCGAAAATGGCAAAATTGCCACCTAGGGACCAATCTACAAAATATTTACATACCAAGGGTAAAAAATGAAAGTATCTTAACTCAGGCTTTACACCTTGCATGTGTGTATGTGTTGTATGTATGTCAGGCAAGGCCCTAATGTGTGTATGTGTTGTATGTATGTACATACAGATCTGTTTCAAGCTGGGCTCGAAGCCATGTGGGGCCGATGCCAGGCGAGGTTTGATTATTTTGGGCATGTCCCATTGTATGTTTGATATGTATGGTATGAGGTATTTTGGGGAACTCACTATGCTTCGTGATTATGGTTTTCATATTATGTTTTAGGTACTTCCGAATCGAAGGGAAGAGCTCAAGGTGATCGCATCGCACACACCATGATTTTTGCCTTATTTGACTTTGATGAATTGGGATGATTGATTCTCATACTTTAATTTCCTTTATGGTTTTATAAACATGTTTGGTTGATGATTTTTATTATTATGAAAATAAAATTTTTGGTTTTAAATTTTGGGATGTTACAAAATCTATTAAACACGATGGTAATCTCTCTCTCTCTCTCTCTCTCTCTCTCTCTCTCTCTCCCCCCTATAAGACTTGTCAGAAACTTGCCAGTGCAAAATATAGGAGATTTGTCAATTGCACTTTATCTAGATCTCCCCTTCTCTATACTCTTTCTCTTTCTTCATTTTGTAGGTTAGTAAGAAAATGCTATAAGACATAAAGAGCATAGTATTGTACTCTGTGTGTGTGTGTGCAACTAATGTATATGAAGAAAAGCATAAGCGTGGGTGGAGAAGAAGTATAAGTATGGGTGGAGAAAGGCAACATACACAACTAGTTATGTGGAATATTAAAATGCTTGTATTAGGTTAGGATGACTAAATTAGCAGGTCAAGACCCACTTTGTTCCCTCATAATGCAATAAAAAAGCTTAGGGGTCATTTAAACTATTTCATCCTTGGATAATTATTTAAATTACTAAAATGCTAGGAAAAAAAATAACATTATACAAAGCGATATTGAGGTTGTGAAGAAAACCAACCAAATTAATTTTGAAAGTAGCACTTCTATGAAAAACAAACAAAATAATATATCACAATCTTATGAGACAAAGTGGCTTTCTTTGGCTTGACAATTCAAAACTTCATAGAGTTTCGCAAGTGCTAAATGGCCCGTAAAATCGTGAGACGAACCACGTCCAAGCATTTTGTTTGAATCATTGACATTGTAATAAATTAAGTTCGGGAACAAAATGAAAACGGGTATATCAATATCCCATCAACGACTAATTTAGTTTCAAATAGAACACCCCATGGCACAAGATAATAACAAATGGTCAACCTTCTCAAAATTCGAATCACAAAAAAGATGTAAGGACTAAGGAGTCCATGTAAATGTCACATTTATCCAAGTTCACTCTACTAGGCACGTTATTAAGCCGCAAGTCCTCAATCACCAAATCAACAATATTTCATTTAATTGGAACAAATTTATTCGAATCGGTAGGATTATCTCCCACAATCAAAATAGGTTTATCAATGTTTTTTCTAGTAAGGAGTCCATTTAAATATCACATGTATCCAAGTTCGGGAAGGATGAAAATCGAACCCGCATCTTTAGTTTAGAAGGCTAGGAGTTATAGTCAATGTCGATTCATCATTTTTAATATCTCTAATTCAAAACCAAAAATGAATCTTTGGTTTCATTCGGCTCCTTTATAGAAAATGGATAAATTGCTAGATTTCAGTTTATTATTATTTGGACATTTTTTGTTGTTCAATTTTAACAACAATTAAAATAAGAAAAGAATCGAAACAATGTTAGAAAACACATTCACATGGATCTATATGCACAAACATAAGTCGTTTTAAACCCTATTATGTAACTAATTGGTTGGTTATTTAGAAATGGTTATTTTGAAAAATATATATGAAGAAATAAAGGGAATTTATATCTAGAAGCAAGGAAATACACCTCAATAAGTTATCCTTAGTAAATTAATGAAAAAGAACATTAACCTTTGACCTTCATTTGTTGTGTTTAAAGCTAGGTTCTCTTGTGATTGCTAAAAATCTTAAATCCTTATTTAGCTCTTTTGTAATTGTTTAAAAAACTTAAATCATGTGGTCTCTAATCCATCATCGTTACATTAATCAATCTAGTTCACAAAAAACCAATAGTCTCACGTGTTATCCTTGAAATCACTGTACACATATGAACTAATTTTAAATTTCAAAATAATTTAAAAATCAATAAAAAAGATTTAGTTCCAAAAGATGGGGTTAAAAATCTCTTACCTTATTAGGATTATATCTTATAAAAGTTTAACATAAAATTTGGAATAAGAAAAATGATACAAACGCCCTACGAACTTTTTAGGGTTTACTCGTTGAGTTCCTAAAGTTTTTGTCGAACTTTATGGGTCCCTAAACTAGGATATGACATGCTTTTTTAGTCTCTGTCAATCTGTAATAGCCGATTCAGTGATCTTTTAAGCCAAAAAAACTCACATTATGCTCATATA